GGGGGGGGGGGTGGTAAAGAAGATGAAGGCCTTTACATTTACATCTCAGGTAACAAGGATCAAACAAATGGAGGAGGAAATAACAACTCAGACTCTGAAAGATCTTTTGTAAATACAATAAAGGATGATAGTTCAAGTGTATCTCTGTGGCATAGGAGATTAGATCATGTGCCAATTGATGTTCTGAGAAGTTAAAATATTTTCAACATTTGAAGTGTAATAGTGAGACTAAGCAATGTACTGTCTGTCCTATTGCTAGACAAACAAGGCTCCCATTTCCTCTTAGCACCTCTGTGGCAATTGCATATTTTTACTTACTTCATGTTGATGTTTAGGGGGCCCTATAGGGTACCTACTCATGATGGGAAGAAATATTTTCTCACACTAGTAGATGATCATTCCAAGTTTACTTGGGTTTTCTTGTTGCCTTCTAAAGCTGAAGTAATTGTTGCCATCAGACAGTTTTTCACTATGATCAAGAATGTTTACTCATGTACTGTAAAATTCTTAAGAACAGATAATGGGTGTGAGTTCTTTAACTCTCAAATGATAGAATTGCTGCAGTCTTTAGGGATTGTTCATCAGAGTTCCTATGTCTATACTCCACAGCAAAATGGAGTAGTTGAGAGGAAACACAAACACATCCTCAATGTGGCCAGACCACTGAGATTTCAAGCAAGTGTTCCACTGAGATTCTGGGGGGAATGTGTACTAACTGCAGTCTATATCATGAACAGACTACCAACACATGTACTGCAGGGTAGAACTCCATTTGAACTACTGATTGGTCATCAACCTTCTTTAGATTATATAATAGTTTTTGGTTGTCTAGGTTATGTTACTGATGTCAAAAAAAGAGACAAGTTCTCACTTAGAGCCTCACCATCAGTCTTTCTTGGATATTCTATGACTCAAAAGGGATATAGAATGTACAACATTCATATCAAGGAGTTCTTAGTCAGTAGAGATGTTATGTTCAAAGAAAACATTTCCCCCTTCCAACATTCAGCTCTTCTACTCTCCTTGTTTCCTACCATTGACATTCCTCAAGTCTTATTGCCTAATGATGTCTCTATATCCTCCTCTTCACCATCTTCAGTCTCTTCTTCTCCTCCTACACATTCTTCTTTACCCTATCCTATTTCTACTTCACCTGCTCAACATAGCTTAGAACAGCCAACACAAGTACCTGTTGAACCTGAACCGGTATCACCAATTAATTTCACTCTTGACCAGCCTAATCCTCAGTCTTCCACCTCAAATGATCAGCTGATAGGAGTCTCACATCCTAGAAGATCTGGGAGAACCAGTAAACCTCCTATCTGGCTAAAAGATTATGTTACTCTCTCTCAAGGCAAAGCCAATTGCTCTTATCCCCTATCAGCATGTGTCAGTTATGAGAATATCTCTGACTCTTATGCCAAAGCCATATCCTCCTACTCTGCAGTTGTAGAACCACAGTCATATACTGAAGCTGTCAAGCATCCTAAATGGATTGAGGCTATGAAAGCTGAAATCTCAGCCTTAGAAGAAAACCACACATGGTCTGTAGTAGAGTTACCTACTGGGAAGGTTCCTATTGGCTGTAAATGGGTGTTCAAAGTGAAGTATACATCATCAGGTGAAGTTGAGAGATACAAAGCCAGGCTGGTAGCTAAAGGTTACAGTCAAAAGGAAGGGCTTGACTACACTGAAAGTTTCTCTCCTATAGCAATGGTGACTGTAAGATCAGTCATTGCAGTTGCTGCAGCCAAACAGTGGCCTCTTTTCCAAATGGATGTTCACAATGCTTTTTTGCTTGAACTCCTAGAAGAGGTTTACATGGATGTGCCACAAGGGTTTGCAAGCCATGGAGGGTCTCACAAGGTTTGCAAACTTCATAGATCTCTGTATGGTCTGAAACAAGCACCCAGGCAGTGGACCAGGAAGCTGACTGATGCCTTAGTATAGTTGGGTTTCATTCAAAGTCATTTTGACTATTCTCTTTTCACTAAGAAGGTCCAAGCTGAGTTGGTTGTTATGTTAGTTTATATAGATGACTTGATAATAAGTGGAAGCAGTCTAGGTCTGATAACTCAGACTAGAAATGATCTGAAACTCAGGTTCAAAATGAAGGACCTAGGAGAACTTAAGCTCTTTCTAGGAATAGAAGTTGCAAGATCAAAAGATGGAATTATTATGAGCCAAAGGAAGTATGCTTTGGAGGTGATATCTGAGATGGGACTAGTAGGCGCTAAACCTGCAGGAACACCTCTTGAATCTAATTTGAAGCTCACATCTATGGAGTATGACACTGCTGTAGGAGCTTCTGAGTGTGAAGATAAACTAATTGAGGATATAGGTGCATACCAAAGACTGGTAGGGAGGCTATTATATCTTACAATGACCAGGGTTGATATAGCATTTGTAGTACATACTTTAATTCAGTATATGCACAAGCCTAAGCAGTATCACTGGGAAGCTGCTCTTAGAGTTGTGAAATATATCAAGACTTCTCCAGGTCTTGGCTTACTAATGCCTTCAGAAGGGTCAGATAAACTAAGAGCATATTGTGAATCAGACTGGGGTAGATGCTTACAGACTAGAAAATCAGTAATAGGGTACCTAGTTAAGTTTGTGAATGCCTTGATCTCATAGAAGTCTAAGAAATAAGATACAGTTGCAAGAAGCTCTGCTGAAGCTGAATTCAAGAGTATGGCATCTACAGTTGCTGAAATAACCTGGCTCATATGACTCTTCAAAGAGCTAGAGGTTGATGTAAGTCTACCAGTTGATCTCTTTTGTGACAGCAAGGCTGCAATCCAAATTGCAGCTAATCCCATCTTTCACGAGAGGACTAAACACATCGACATTGACTGTCATTTTGTACGAGAGAAAATCATACAAGGTGCTGTAAAAACTCATCATATTCCCACAAAAGAGCAGCAAGCTGACCTTCTTACCAAGTGTTTAGGAAGATTGCAACATGATTACATGATCACTTAGTGTCCAAGCTGGGCTTGAAGGATATCTTCAAATCATCAGCTTGAGGGAGGGTGTCAAGAAAGCAGTTAGTGGTTAGCCAAGTAGTTAGCCAGCTGTCCAACAGTGTAAGGACAACTCTAAGTTAAGTTAGTTAGGAGTAGTATATAATCGTGTATATCCCTCATTTGTATGTGATGATAATGAATGGAACATTACAATTTCCATCTCCTCTCTTAGTTTCTTCTGAGAAATCCTCTGCAGTCATGGAGGTTCTCTTCATTTAACAAAAATACATTCTTTATTATATTGACAAGTGAAAAATAACAACTTATAGTACTTTTCGCATAGTTTATGAATATCAGTGGCGAACGCATGCGGTGGCAAGCGGGTTCAACTGAGCCCGCTTCATCAAGAAATAAAATTGTGTATATGTATAAATTACGATTAAAGCTGCATAAACTTTGTATAAATATTTTATTTGAACCCACTTGTCAACTACTATTTTACGACTAAAGTTATATACTTCTAAGATTGAACTCGTGTGCACAAAATCCTGGGTTCGCTACTGATGAATACCTAGCTAAATTTAAATTTTAAAATACTAAGTTGAACTAATCCAATTGAGCTTCAAAATTTAGTCAAATTAACTCTTAACAGGTAAAAAATATATCATCTAAAGTGAAACAAATGGATTATTTAAAAACTTTAAAAAAAAAAAAAAAAAGACATAAGTTTCCTCATTCGTGCAAACAATAAAACCTCGAGGATAAAACGTGCAAGTTTGTAATTTCTTAAAATCAGATGGCAATTTATGTAATTTGAATTGAATAAGGAGGGTGATTTTAAACGGCGAAATTTATTTGACGGCGTGATCTTTTTAGATCCAGCGAAGCCACGTGAGCAAGTTGTCAAGCTGGCTTGGGTCCCACTCCACCTCTGATTGAGCAGTTTGCTAGCTGTCAATCACTTTTCCCATTTTGCCCTTCATATACTCCTCCTGTCCACCAAATTCTCCACACCATCATTTGCTTAGCTTGGTCAATACTCAATAATAACCTAAACCCAATATTTCTTAAATCGAAAGGACGATTATAGCCTTGAATAAGTTCGAGAGACATTTTTTTTAAAATAACGGTAGTGTCCATCTCAACTTATACGTACTTCAATCATTCACGTGTACATATTACCTCCCATTAGTATAGATATTTAGTAACTTTATTAATTAGTTCTTAGGTAGATAAAAAGAAATTACTTAAAATTATTTTATCTTTATTAAAATTTGAGCTTTAGTTTTTCATTTACTTAATTTATTAACTGCTAGAACACTTCTTATTTATGATATTACACTGAATTTGTTGTTATTATATTGATCGTTAAAACATATCATGACATCTAAGTTCGTGAGACCTCTTATCCAAACGAAAAAGAAGATGATACATAATTTTAAATTAATATAAATCAGAAATTGTTACCCGTGATATTATTTTTAAATTGTAAGAGTAGATTTAGTATATGTAAATCTTAAGGAATAAACATAAGTTAAAATTTACTCCGTTTATACCAAACCAACAAATCAAATATATATATTCTTATTTTTATTTTCATGGTGGGGTCGGGTCATTTGGAGTGGGGACGAGGTACAAGTGTAAATAATGGGAAAGACAGGGAGTATTTGGTTGGAAATAAGTCTTTGTTAGTATAAGGCTTGCCAGGCCATATATTTGGAAGCAGAGTTGGCTACAAAAATAAGAGTTTTGCTAAATTGTCCACATATATATAAACACTAGCACAACAATTATCTGTTTTATTATTAGAGAGCCAAAAGCTAAAGCCACAATTTGCAAACAAAGAGGAGAAAATTCAGTTTGCTTTCTTCATCCATGTAAGTGAAACAAACAACACTTAATTCTTTCTTGTTCTCTCTTCATTTTTAGTATTAAATCTTTTTTTTTTAAGTTTATTAATTTCATAAACTTATGCAAGGTGTTCACAATAGCAATTATGCCTAGTTCCTTTCTTTCTTTTTCATTTTTTTTTAATTTTCAATAAAGGATTAGCAAATAAATACATGTATAGCAAGCATTTTCATCTTGAACAATTCATTTTTATGGCTACAGATATACATATTTAAAGAAATAAAGATGGGTTATTGGCAAGCCAAGGTTGTTCCAAAATTCAAGCAGATCTTTGACAAAAATGGACCAAAGAAGGCTGCTGCTGCTGAGGCATGCAAGACCTTTGACGAGGCTAAGGTAAAAATAAATTTAACTATCGCGTATTTTAATCTGTTGTAACAAATAATATATCTTACTTGTATATGTTATTAATCTCACTTATTATTATGTATTATCGATAATTACTTTTTAGTAACTTGTGTGTGAATTTTTTTTACACTATCAGTACGTAGAAGTTGAATTCTTCTTTTTATTCTGGATAGTTGTAAAGAAATTATTGTAAAAAAGTACCTCATAATTCAAATTTGGCCACAACAAAAGAAGAAAATTAAAAAACAAGAAAAAAAATATAAAGACAAGGACATGGTAAACTTTTGTTTATTTACCTAGTTCTTAAAAACAAATTAATATGAGTTATTGTCTAATAAATTTCAGGAGCAATACAGCAAAGAGTTCGAAGAGAAGAAGACTGAGCTCCAACCTAAAGTTGTTGAAATTTATGAAGCTGCTGCAGTGGAGATCAAGGTTTTTATTTACATACTTTATTCAAATATTAAAAGGAAAAAACTGCAGAATTACTATATATTATTGCAAACAAACATAGAACTTACTGCTCTTATCTCTTTATGATTTTTAAAAAAAAAAAAGACTTTGGTGAAGGGACCAAAGGTTTCAGGATTGAAGAAACACTCAACTCAAGTCCAGAAATTCCTTGATGAGCTTGTCAAGATTGGTAGGCCTTCATTTCTTTTACTTCGTATTTGCAATATATTTTAGCAATTATATGTACTTCTATTCTGTTTTATGTGACACTATAATTTTGTTATTCGGAGTCAATAAGTTTCTTGTTTGATCACAATTTTCTTCATATTTTTAAGTTTTTTTGAATTATTAACTATTGCAACTTATAATAGCAACTTTTTTACACAAAAATAATTAAATAGTTTGACCCTTGCTCCAACCTCATCACATAAAATAAAATTGAGGAAGTACTATTTATTCCATTAGAGTTTAATTAACTTGTATATATCTATATATATATATATATATATATG